TGGTTCCTTCCTTGGATTTCCATTCCAGGGACTGTTCTTCCAGAACGGCCAGCCTGCCCCTCCGGTGGCTGCTGCGATAGCCAAGGTCACCCACAGTTTGCACCCTCAGAAGTTCCCTGTTAATTCCCCTTTATCTGCTTTCCATGGCTGTTATCAGCGGCCATCATTTCCATTTCTTTGAATCAGAATGGCATTATGTCCATTTCTCAGATAAGAAGACTGATACTCAGGGATATTGAGAGACTAACTCAAGCTGCACACACCTTCCGAGTGCTAGAATTAAGCTTTGAACCTAGGCTTTCTGATCCCAGGTCCAATGTTCTTTGTACTGAAACAGGAATTTCACCCAAGTAATCATTGGAGCAATTAATCTAAAAAAAAGGCATATGTTCTATCAGGACTTTTAAAAATCATTCAGAAATGATGATGATTAGTTATTATCTGAATAACAGGAAGTTAAACCTCTTTGACCTTGTGGGCAAAGCAGAGCGAATGATGACTTTTCTCCCAAGGCACTTTAGAAACAAAAGAACAGACCAGGTCTTCCGCCGCGTCGCCTGGCCCTGACTCAGAGCCACACCGGCCGTGCACCCGGCCAGCGGTCAGGCTCTCAGGAAGCAGCTTGTCCTCCGAGCATCTCCGTCTGTCATCCCCTTGTCACACGCATCTCGTCTCCATCACCTTGAGAAGCTACTGGAGCAACGCTTCGCTAATTGGACCTGCTGAGGCTCATCCTGGCGCCTCCGTGGACAGTGCAGGAGGCCCCAAACCCTGACTGCCTGGGAATCCAGGGAGCATCGCCCGACGCGGACACAAGCAGGGCCAGCTAGCCCTGAGCCTGCAGCAAAACCACCTGTCTGGGAGGACATGGCACACACTCGTTTCCCCCACAGGGAAACGCCTGGTCACCCCCCTGTCATGGCACCCACACCCCCCCCCCACTCTCTCGTGGTCATTGTCTGTTCAAGTCTCTTTCATCTCTGCTAGGTAGTGGAGTCTTCTAGCACAGCAGCTCTGTTTTAGGCACCTCCGTATTCTACTATGCTTGACTCAAAATAGATGTGCAGAAAATGTTTTCAGGAAAAATAAATACGTAAATAAATAGTTACTTGACTTTGATACACTTTTATTTTTTAGATACCTGCAGCTTGCAGCTTTATTAAGGTGGCTCCCAACAAGGCAGTCATGGTACGGGGCAGGCCATCAGCCCTCGCCCTGACCGTACTTGCGGTTCTGATCCGAATGAAGCCCACACATCGGCGGGGCCGTGAAGATGGGGATATTGCAATGGAGGGAGGGGGAGAGAAGTCCAAAACCAAGCACTCTGGCTAGCTCATGTTTTGAAGAGATCACCCTGTCTGTGGACAAGGAGTTGGCTTGTTCCTTGTGTCTCCTAAGGAAGGACTCAGAGCCAGTGGGTGTTGCTGGGAGGTTGACTGGGACACACACACAAAACACCCACACAAGTGAACGTGTCGAACCAGCAAACCGGCTGATTCAGAAGAACCAAGTTCTTGACGCTGAGCCTGTTCATGCAGAGGGCAGCCGACCCTTCGATAACGAGGATCTCTGCATGGGGGTGGCGTAGGATGGGGGGTGGCGTAGGATGGGTTCACCTTGAAGGCGACATTCATCTCTCCAGGAGTCTTTGACTTCAGTCTGTCCCGTGGCACTAACGTTTATTTTCTAATCCTGTTGTTCATTTAGGTGTGGATTTAACTGTCTATCCCAATGAATTCAGTCCACTTTTAAGGATTGAACATTCCGGCAGGCATATCAGGCCAGCGCCTCAAAGCAATCTGTTAGCGTGTTTGTTTGGCCTGAATCAGGTTGTTCATAGCTACGTGGACGTAACTTCCTTGCTCACGGTGACCAGGCACCACGCTTTTCTCAGAGCAGGTTCTCCGAAGCTAGGTCTGATGAGCGCTTTTAAAGAACTGACTGCAAGGGGGAGGTTGCTCAGTGGAGAGCTGGGATACGAGTGCCTGTCACCAGGGTTTCTGAAGCTAATGATTCCCAGCCAGCCACCAGAATCAGGGAAGGGCTATAAGAAATTCAGTTGTAACTCATTTGGGGATGAATTCATCATTTTGGATGAACTCATCCATTTAAATGCTAAAGACAAAAATTTTAAAGAGTTTTCTGCTTACCAAAAGTTAGAAAACGCACCATTTACATAACTCCATCCTCCCACAGCATCTTGTCCCGCACCGTTCAGCAACATGTTCCTGTTGCATTTTCACATATTTTGCGAAAATCGTAAGTGTGATAAAATTGTGTTCACTGCCATGTTGTTCTTCTCTCAGACGGGCGAAGGAGATTGTGCTGAAGTTTGAGGGGAGGCTGACCAGGACCCGAGGCTACCAGGCAGCAGGTGCAGAGGTAAGGAG